TATCAGATTTTAGTTCTATGGCTAAAGAGTTTTCGAGGTTAGTATAGTATTTAATTAAGCAAAGTAACATCCTGCGAGTTCTTGTTAACAAACAATTTTAATTTGCATGATTAAATTCAACTAAACAAACTGCTTTAAATTAAAAGTTTTAAAACTGCAGCAGTGTTGGAATAGAATGCTTAAAATTTTGCTGAAGTAAAGAATTTTGGACAGAAGAGGAAAAAAATATTCTTTCAATTTAATATATTTGCCTGACAAAAATAATATGATACTTTTAGTTGTAATATTAATGCATTGAAAATAAAATTACAGATTTATTTTAAGAATTTTGTAATTGTTTAATGTTTTTTTCCATAGATACGTCTGAAACATATTTTAATGATATAAATGGTCATTTTATTTTTAATTTTATTGCTATATGCTTCTCATTACATTACTTAAAAAGTAAAAAATAATGTGTACGATAGACATAAGTTTATCGTTATAAAAATAATTAATTGGGAACTATTTAGTTATTGGGAATTTCTATGTTATAGAAAATAAAAAAGATTATTATTATTCAAATTATATTTATTTCGATATTATTATAAGAAAGGCAATTTATTTATTTTTAAGTTGCATAGTAACTTCCCAATTTTTAGTTGTTCAATTAATTTATTGAAAGTTGTATTTCAGTGATATAAATAACAAGAGCAGGTTTAATGGAAAAAAAAAAATTACGGTTTATTCGTAAATAATTAATAAAAAGCAGTAAAGAAGAATAAATTTAGCACCTGGTATTTTTAAAATATTCTTTTCATTAACATTTTTAGTAAATTATGTCTACATTTATTCATAAGGACAAAAAATAAATTCATTTAAACATATTTTTGCACTGATAAATAAATGAATCAAAAGTAAATGATGTGGTTTTAAAAAGTTTTTGTTTTAGTAATTCATGAATAAATAAACAAATTGATTTAATTTTTATTTTATTGAAAGTATTATATGTAGTTCATTTGAAACTTATAATTTTCAAATGATCCAAATTATATCTATTTCTCTTTTTGAAGTTGTAATCTAAAAATTTTATTCTGAAACAAATCGAATTACAGGTTTATTTTTTAAAAATGAATTTAAAATTCTTGAGTTCACAATATTTTAAATATTTATATTATTATGAAAGATTTTTATTTGATCACCCGTTCACCAAAAAACCAATTGCAATGAAATAATAATTCATAAATTATAAAAATATTGGTAATACATATATGTATATAACAATATATACTTTTTGTGTGATTATCACTATTTTGAAATGAAATATATAAATAAATATATGCCTGCATGTTTATAGTTTTAATATCATTTTTATACTAACATTTTATTAATGTTGTAACAATTTATGCAACTTTTTCAATCAAACTGCTTTTGATCCAAATTCATTTTAATGACAGAAAAAAATTGGTATTTAATTATATATCAATTTTCAATTTTTATTCAGCATATATAGATAATATATAGGCTAAAATAAATAAAATAAAAGCATTCCAAAACATACGATGAACTTCCAAATTTTGTAAAAAGTCTGAAAAGAACTATAAAAAGCATCAAAGGAATGGATCGAAAATAATGTATGGATTTGGATATATTTTGCTCTTACAGGGAAAAGATGCAAGATTCAATGGATCTACACGAATGAACTGCAGATTGCACAGGATTGCAGATTGACAGAAAGGCGAGGAAGATCTATCAGCGAGTGGAACACGGAGGAGATGCAAGCCGTTGGGGGAACAAAATTTCTGTCAATCATTAGAAAATATACCATATTCCCCTTCTGGTTCAAATTTTGGTTTTGGTATAGTGGAATATTAGAAACAACACTCATGTCCATAAATTAAGGGTAATTCAGAATCAAACAGAAATTGAACTCTAAAATAAAAGTTTCACCCGTAGAATTATCACACACATCCTGAAGAAGAATATGCAAATTACAGGAAACCACCAGATGGCGCGGATAATACGTCACAATGACGAGTGTAAGAGGGGTATATAAGGAATGGTGGCAAAGAAGTAAAATTGTTTACAAGCGCTTAAAACGCCTTTCAGTGCAATAACCGCATAGTTATGGCACAAAGGAAGCATTTGGATGATTTTTTACGTGGTAGAATTATCGGACGACTGGAATGTGGACGTATCCAGCTGGAAGTATCCGAGGAACTTGAATCGCTCAGAGTGTCATCTCCAGGCTTTGACAACGATTCCAAGAGGATGGATGTGAGTAGATGTTACAGCACAGGTCGCCCCCGAGTTACAACGCCGAATGAGGACCGGTATTTTGGAGTTACTGCCGAAAAGAACAGACGAAGGACAGCATCAGACCTGTCCCGTCAGCTCTCTTCAGCTAGCGGTACGAAAGTTTTAAGGCAGACCGTGTACCAGACGCTTAGGGCACATTGGTCTATATGCTCGTAGGCCTGTCAGCTGTGTTTCCACTTACCGCAACTCTGTCGCCTGGAGTGGAGAGCCTGCATTGTGGACACCGCAACAGTGGTCTTGTGTGATGTTTTCCGATGAGTCCAGGTTTGAGTTTGCAGTCTGATTCTCGCCGGACTTTCATGTCGAGCGCCAGGTGCCCGTACCATCAAGAGAACACCATTGAACGACACCGTTACGGTGGTGCAGGATGGCTCGTTTGGAGAGGAATTATTCTTGGTTCCAGAACTGACCTGCATGTTCAGAGTGTAACGATGACAGGCCACATCTATCCGGATGTCATTCAGGAACAACAAGTACTTTTTTCGGGGCGCCATGGGTGCTGAATTTCTGTTTATGGATGACAACGCCCGTCCTCACCGTGCAAACATTGTAGACGAATGCCTTCAATTTGGGAGGATATCACCCCGTATGGATTGGCCAGCATACTCACCGGACTTGAATCAATAGAGCATGTGTGGATATCCACTTGACCGACAATTGCAGCCTGTCAACCCCTCCCACCTGTCAACCGGAACTTCGGAGGGCATTGCTTGAGGTAGTGGTGTAATATTTCCCAAGATCAGATTGATAATTTGATACTCAGCATGCCTAGGCGTTGTAAGGCCTGTATTGCATCGTCCGGGAGACATACTCCATATTAACCATAATACTAACCATGTTATACTGTTTTTTGTAAATAGGCTATTTTTGGAAATTTGCTCCAAGGAGTAAAAATCGCATTTTTTATTAATTATGTCAAACATATAGCAACTTTTGCTCTTTACCTTTTGTTTAATAAATAGACTTTACAAATAAGTCAAATTTGTTTTGCTTCTGTCTCTTTATTTGCCTGAACTTCATTATCCTTAATTTATGGACATGAGTGTATAACAATTTTAAAATCCATTTGAAATTTTTAAAGTTATGAATGTTATTCATAAATCAAATAATTATTGTTTACTCATCTGAAATATATGATATAAAATCGTTGTGTTTTCAAATCGAATATAATTTCAGACAGAAAACTGTTGTAAAAATTAGCCATATACTATTTTTCAATTTTAAGTAAGCTATTATAAAAAAAAAAATATGAGAGCTTATCAATATTTTTCAATGAGTGTTTATATTGATATATTAATAAACATTGATAAAAAAATTTATACTGAAATATGGATAAATATTTTTTTTTTTTCTGTTTTTCTTAAGTAATTTTAGTAAGTGAGTTATAAGAATTATAATATTTATCTACTTAGTATTAAAATATTGATTATAAAATTTATCTAGATATATATTTATATATAATTTAGTTAGAAATATGTATCTATAGCAAAGGCATTTATTTTTTTTTTTCAAAAACCAGATTCTCATAAAAAATTTTTTAGATGTTCATGACTAATTACTTGTAATATAATCAAAGGAAATTATGAATGAAATTATTAAATATTATAGTTAAATGTATAATTAAGATAGCATTAAATGTATGATTTAGATAAGATTAAATGTAAAATTAAAATAGATTTAGCCACAGATAAAAAGGACAGTTCTTTTTAAGTTTCAATATATACACTATTTAAAACTTCACTCTCTACATTTTCAAATTCAGAATTTAATTTAAAATTTTATCAATAAAATGATTTAATTATTTTAAAGAAGTGAATACATTTTCATTCTGAAAGTGATTTTTAAAAACATATTTGCATATATTTAATTGATAAATGTTTTTCAATAAAATTTTTATATATTTTAAATTGTATGTGTTAGAAAACTAAAACGAATTTCAGAATATTTTAAGAGTAAATTAATATGTGATTCTGATTTATTAGAAAAATGTATTAGGTTTTAAAATTGCATGATAAACATCATTAAATAATTTGAATACAGGTTAATGAACATGGAGTTGTAAGTTTTGATTGCAAGCAAGAAATATAGAGTTAGATCAATGCTTTAAAAATTACAATTTACAATAATTATTTAATTTTAAAAATATTACTAGAATAGATGTATTTTATTGAATCTTTTCTATTAAAAATTTCATTTAGTATATAAATAAAGTTATATATAAATATAAAAAAAAAAATTCTTTTATCTTAGATTTATTCAAATTTGTTCTAAGAAATATTGTTTAAATTAACTAAATAAACATATATTTTAACAGTACATATAGTAAAATTATAATGCCAATTAAATGTTGAATCTAACTTAGTTCAAAGAATTTTGTAAAATCTGGCAAACAAAATTTGTTGTTTGTTGTTTGTTTGTTGTTTCTTATCCAACTTGGCTGGCCAAGCCCAAGAGCCCATAAGTACTCATGGTTGAAGGAAGGAAGCAGCTTCTGTTGTGATGGAGCACCCGTAGGTAGAAGTCTGAATTTGGCTCCGTGACGCTCTTACAGTCATAGGAGACCGGGACCTACGGCTTAAAGTGGATTCCGAATCACTACAAACAACCATGGCAAAGCCGGGATTTGAACCCGAAACCTGTGGTACCGAGCGCCAGAGCGCTAGCACGTTCGGCCATTCAGGTCCCAAATTTGTGAACAATGAACGGCACGCGGTGTTCCCAGGTGATCACCCACCCAAGTACTGACCGCGCCCAATGATGCTTGACTTCGGTGCATGGGGATAAAAGCTCTTTGGCTCAGGTGCACCTTTCCCACCCACCCTCGAATGACTTGACTTCGGTGATCTAACGAGAACCGGTATATTCAGCATGGTATGGCCGTCGGTAATGTCAAATTTGTAGTTGTGGGAATACTCATTGAAACTATATTTGAGGAGACATAAGCCAAGACTTAATTATTCTTACAAAATTAGATGTATTAATTTTGTCAGAGATTATTTTAGTAGTTTATTTTATAAAATTTGCTAGGTGTAAAGAGTGTTTAAATAAAAAGGATATATTTTATTGCACGGCTTTAAATATGTGTTAATCAACTTAAATGTGCGTTTCTTGTTTAAAATTTTTGTTTCAAAGGACGTAAAAGCTAATTTTTTTTGTTACATGAATGTATTCGAACTATAAAATTAATAATTATTAGTTATTGATATTAATTTGAGTATTACTTTAATTATTTGTGAAGTAAGATGCTTTTAAGTTGAACGATGCTATCAGCATGGAATCTGATATTGGCAGGAACATTAGTTTCTCTAATATACAGGAAATAAAAATTTGAAACAATTTGCTGATCAAATATTTAACACTTCAGAATACAGATTGAACATGAAATTTACTCAAAATGTTATAGATCCCAAATATAAAGGGTCAGCAACTAACATTTTTTATCATTAATAAAACCCAAGTTGAAATGATCCATCGATTATAAATTATGACAAAATTGATTGTGGCTTTGTTTTATTGTTTTTAAAAACCTACATAAAAAAATTATGAAAATATTTTTTTGTTTCTATTTTGTCATGTTGCCTCAAGCATCACTTCTCCACGGATCATGTATTTTCTAATGGGCATATATATGGGCTACAATGTAAATCAAAAGTAAAAGTTTTTTTGACAAAGAAAATTCTTAAACTGAAAATTATTATTAGCTATTTTTAGAGAAAGTTACGAAATTTACCAATACAATACTTCATTTTTCTATAAGAAAATATATTTAAAAAAATACATTTAAGAGAAACTCGATTATCTTTGTTTTACTATAAATCTTTGTTAAACGAAAATTTTACTAATCCATAACTGATAAAAACCTAAAATGAAGATTTTTTAATCTAAAGACTAGACTCATTTTAATATGCATAAAATGACTCATTAACCAGATGATATATTAAGGATATCTAATAATGATTAAATTAGTGAATATGAATATTTTACACTAATACTACCATAAGGGTTATGCACTTTTTATATGTTTTATTTCATGTATTTTTTGTAAGAACACTTTTATACATCGGAATCATTTTGTCTGAAAACTACATAAAATTTCTTAGAAGAATACTTATATTTTCCATAAGGTTTTAAGGATTTTTTTTTTTTTTTTTTTTTTTTTTTGTAAAAGTTTTTTATTAAATTTCCTGCGCAGAAGAGGACAGAAACCCAACACAAACTTTTCTTCCATTCCAACATATTAGATGTAATGGAATAGAGTTCTTTGAACTTTTTGCATATTCTAGAAGAAATTTTACTTGAAAACACAGAGTAGAACGTTTTTTTAATTGGTTGAATAATTTATTTTAACGTATACATATCATTTAAGTTAAAATATATTATTTTCATTACAAAAAAATAATAAAATAAAACTCGAATGTGAGAATATATATTTGAAATGACATTTTTTTATTAAAGTAATTAACATTTAATTCAAAAACATTTCACTTTAGCTGTTAGATCCATAGTACTTTCGTTTTTTAAATAAAATTAACATACTTTTAATCCGTAAAAATTATATTTTCATTTATCTTCATATATTATTATTATTATGATATATATTATGCTATCATATTTTTCATTATAAAAGGTAATGGCATTATGGATTTTTTATTAATCACTATCACTGATAATAATTTGGTTAAGAAAACCATAAACTCTGTACACACTTTATGAATTCAACCAAACTAAATTAATTATATTAGTTATGGATTCAATTTTTGTTTTTCTATTCAATTGTTAACTATGTTTAATTAATTGTTTTGTATTTATTTAGTTTAATTTAAAATGACAAAAAAATAATAATTTTACAATTATTAAATTTTTAGCTGGTTTTGTAGTTAATTTCACTACTGGGACTTCATTATAAGTATCCATTTTCTTTTTGACATCTAAATAATAAATATTAGAAACACTGATGTACATTTATTTTTGACTGAGTATCTGATTTTCGAAAGAATTTGAAACATATTTTAGATATTTCATTACATTTCATTATGACTATTTTTGTTTTTATTATGCCTGTCGGTTTTTAAATATAATGATGCATAATGAATATAAAATATTTAAATATATAAAATGATATTTTGTAATGATAAACAAATATAAAAACTCTTAAATTAAATTCAACATTTATGTTATCCTATTTTTTTATTATAAGGATAATGAGATTGGGATTTTTATTAATCTCATACCTGGAAATAATTTTTATTATACAAATACATATATTCTGTACATTCTTTTTGGATTCACCCAAGTGAATTAAATTGTTTAAATACGTTTTTTTTCCAAAAAATAAAATAAAAAAAAACATTCCCCCATTTTTTATATATTTTGTAAGTTTATATTCAAAATAAAAGCATAATAGAAGTAACAGAGTTACTTAATTTAACTGAAAATGACAAAAAATGATACTTTTACAATTATTAAATTTTAACTTGCTTAGTAATTAGTTTACTCATCTTTGCCTAAAATATCTATTTTCTTTTTTGACACATGAATAATGAATATTAGAAACATTGAATTACAACCTTTTCGACTGAACTTAGGACTGACAAAAGCATTTGAAAACATGTTTTAGATAGTTTATTATAACTTCTTTTTTTGTTTTTATTATGCTTATTATTTTAGAAATATATTGGTGTCTGATGGACATAAAAATATTTCAATGTATAAAATGCTATTTAATAAAGATAAACAAATATAAAAACTTTTAAATTAAGATTCGATAAACCTTCTGTTGAAGCATACATCTTAATCTTATAATTACCATAAAATACTCGTAAACATAATTCACAAACTAATTATAACCTCTTCAAAAATCATTTATGCCAGTTAGAATAATTCTCTGATTCCAGACAGTGAGTGTAAAAGAACAAATATTCAGCAGTGAAAACGCTTTCTCCGTCTGCATTCCGAGCGTAGCAGCAGAAGTAGAAGAGGGTGGGATGAACCACCTGTTATTTTCCTGGAAAATCTGCGACCTGCACCAATAGCGAATCTCATTCAACTAGGGGGCCGAAGCCAAAACAAATCATGTTTACCCTTTGCCTAGGAAAACACGCCGTCTGTTCATTTTATTACATTATTTATTAACTGCCATAACTCCAATTGTGGAAATGCATTACCCGGTGCATTCCAACCTTTTCCTGATATGTGCTGGCATAGAGACGGTTGGCTGTAGGCCAACTGTAAAAGCAGTAGTAGCGATTTGCGGCGTGACAGAAACACATGCATCGAATTTTGGTGTTTCAGAGTGGTCTGGGGAGAATAGAGGTTTGGAAGCCAATGAAATATTACTCATTCAAATGAAAAAGCATCGTCGAAGGGGCGTTTCAATCTTGCGGTTTTGTCCGAAGCCTTTGCAAGGTCTGTTTGCGCAAATAGTGGAAGAGATCTGGTGTTGTTTGGCGAGTGACAAACTGCTCCAACGATGCATTGGAGAGTTTGGTTCATACATATTGTTATTTAACTTTTCATTTTTGAAAAACTAATAAAATTCCAATTCATGAGTGACGGTGGCGGATCGTAAATTGCTTTCAATTCTTCATTTTGTTTGTGTGTTGTGTGTTTTACATTTGGGTGGTAAATCATTGCTGTAATGCAAAATCCTTATGTATTTACTATTATTGTTTTTATAAAAAAAGGTTAATATGTAGGATATTCAATAAAACAGTTGTTTTTTATGGCTGCTGAAAAGGAATGTTTAAAATGTAAATAAAATGATTGGTGTGCATGGTAAATGGTAAAATAAATGGTCGTCATAAATTGGTAAAATCCATTTCTGGGTTCTTAGAGACGAGCTTAATGCTTAAAATCTGGTTGAATTTTTTTATAATAAATTGTATAATTTATTTAAATGATATATTGCAAGTATTTTAATAGAACTAATTTATAACTGCCTCAATGAATTTTTTTCGGAAAATTTAACTGTTTACATTCTTTCTCAAAAGCATAGTACAAGAGTGTTTTATAAGAAATGTTATCATTTGGGGATGAATATATTATTTAATTATTATTATAATATTATTTTCGTACTATTATAATATTATTTAAGTATTTAAAAGAATTTATTTATGCCTGAGAGGTAACTTTTTACATAATATATTCATAAGACGTAAATTTGTTTATTATTATGTTCATTTAGATTCAATTACATTATTTGATAAAAATATTTGTTTTCACAAAACGCTTTCAAAATTTATGTCATGCGGTTAAAATTCCTATTAATTTTATTAATTTATATTAAAAAACATCGACAATTTTATCAACAAAACTGAGCTAATAGTAAAATATAAGGTAAATTGTTTTCCATCCTTATTTCCGGCAGATATGGAAATGATATAACATATTGTGACAACTGCACAAATTGGTAATTGAACATTTATTTATTTTACAACTGTACATTTTTGGTAGAAAAATATATTTTACTTCTCAAAAAATCCCTGTGCAAAATCATTTCATTTAATGGAATTCATTTTTCTATTAAATTATTTTTAAGGGAAAATATTTTCCTCCCATTTAAGAAAAAAAAAAGTTTTGCAAACCCGCTTTTCTTCATTTAAAATGTATTAAGCTTTCATTAAAAATCGCGGACTAAGATATAAAAGGATTTTTACGTTTAAACTAGTTTTATGTTGATGAAACTAGTTTTATTTTGAGAATAACGTAAAGAATATTTTTATTTTGATGAATACTATTTTAAATTTTTTTTACTTTAAAAAAAAAAAAAAAATT